TTCATGCTAGAAAATGTACCCATGACACCGAATTGTCAGACTGTATTTGAAAGAGCTAGGCTGGATTTGCACAAAACCCCAACCTCCCCTTCTCTCAGGACTTCAGTACATATCTCTGTTATGTGTCTTTTTCTCGGTGTTGCAAGACAGGCTACCCTCTGGTTCCTGAGCTAACTTAATTGTCCTTTTTTTTTTCCTTTTTTTTCCTTCATATATTTAAAAAAAAAAAAAAAATTCCAAACATAAGTACAGATGGCTGTGTAGAACTGAAGGTGTTAAAGTGAAGTAATGTTCCAAGGGGGGAAATGCATCATCAGTTTTTCTAATTTTAAATGTAACAAATGCCTTGGACTAATGTTAACGAATATAACTATAGCTGTATTTAATTTTCTGCTTTTCAGTAGGAACATGCTTGCAGCTTGCTAGCACCACCTTGTGGTAAAAGTTATATATAGCAGTCTTCATAATCAAAGAAGGTAGATACACACTATTAGCAAACAAAGGGGAAAAAGTACATGAATGTGTATGGCAGAGAGAGATCTTTATGACCAGACTTCAAAAAAGGTAATTTCCTTATATATTTGTGATAAAGATAATTAATGGAACAATATGACCGAATTCATTAAAACTGCAAACTTCAATATACTACTCTTCTTTTGGTGTATTTTCTTTTCAACTTTTCCTATCAAACACAGAGAGTATTCCCTTTGTAGGTGCTATAAGAGGCTTTCCAGGTTTCCTGCTTCTAGTTTATACATGCAGTTCAAATATACTTTTGCTCAGAGTTTTATGCTCTGCGAAGTATTTTTTATAAATTAATAACACTCCTTTGTTCATAGAAGCAAAGTGTAAAGAGATTGGCTTCATAACCTCTTGTTTTTGGCCAAACAGCCAGGTATAAAGGTTAGCAGTGACTTTCAGTGTCCTTTGGAAATTCAGAATTACACCATTTCTGGTATTCTATAGAGAATGATGATTGATATTTTGCACACTGTTATCTTTTGGAATTTCTATATTGGGAACAGGATTTTTATGTTCAACTATATAAAAAAACATTAAACACCCATTTCACTTGTATTTCACATTTTTCTTGCTGCTTTGGAAGAAATGATCAAATATATTTGATACCTCGAGGGGTTTTGACATTTAGTTACGTAGCACTACTTGAACTACAAATGCTGCAGAACATCAAAATACATTACTAATTTAACCTGAGCTTTATCCTACCAGTCCTAGTTACCATGCCAAACTCCTGTTCTTACTGTAAAGTCATTTGTAACACACATTCACATTATGTAGGATATTTGGGTCTTCTCTCTGTACATTTAAGGGCAGTGTGTGACTACATGCTTTTGATATGATATTAAACCACTGCATGCTCCTGCTGATAGATTGGGAGCCATATTGTAATCTACACAGATTTTTCCCTATAGAGAGCAGGAAATTGACCCTCCCCTATAGGAATGTTTGAGAGGTTCATTTCCCAAACCAGAGTCCTGTGTGGAAGTCACAATCCTCATGTAACCTTGTACCTCCTCTCAGCTTTCCTACAAGCAGTCTTCTGTGCTACAGAGTGGGGAGCTTGAAGCAGCGTTAACACCAGCTCACGTTTCCAATGTGAAATCCAGTGTGGCTGCTGCTCATCTGCATCATTCCAGCAAAGAGGGTTCTATGAGGCTACAGCAAGGAGAGAAACATGCTACCCAGCAGAGGTACTCTACTCCCTCCCTGGGTTCTCGCTCTTTTGTCTCGGTTCTGAGTAGAAGTGGAATAAGACTTGGTCCTTACAAACTAAGTAAGATATGGAAAAGACTAATTAGCCAACATATTGCCCTCTCTTTTCAGCATCCAGAAATAATCCCATTGCAATCATCACATATCCACAGGCTACATCTTTTTCGTTCTTGGCACTAAGAAAAGGAGTACTTGTGGCACCTTAGAGACTAACCAATTTCTACACTTTCCACAGTATGCATCCGATGAAGTGAGCTGTAGCTCACGAAAGCTTATGCTCAGATAAATTGGTTAGTCTCTAAGGTGCCACAGGTACTCCTTTTCTTTTTGCGAATACAGACTAACACGGCTGTTACTCTGAAACCATTCTTGGCACTCTATTTTACTATAGATGATGATAGAGTATTCCATAGTACCTAATTAGTACAGCAAATATTTGTAAATCGTACAAGGAATGGTTCTACCAGAGAAGTTTGCATTTCACTCTCTAATGAATACTTGATTTCTTTGCTCAATTCAACAGTTGCCCTCTTCACTTGGACAGAATTGTGCACTTTCCACCTGATCTCACACAACATACTTTCAGCCTACTCTTGTTTGCACTCTGAGAGGAGCCCTAGGTGGGTCTCAGAGAGGCCCTAAAAACTGGGCCCCAAGCAGGAATTCAGGGAGGTCATTTGAACAAGCCCTCCACCTAGATAAATAGAACAGGAGTACTTGTGGCACCTTAGAGACTAACAAATTTATTTGAGCATAAGCTTTCGTGGGCTACAGCCCACTTTGTTGGATGCATAAAATGGAACATATAGTAAGAAGATAAATATATATATACACACAGAACATGAAAAGGTGGAATTAGTCATACCAACTGTAAGAAGCTAATTAATTAAGATGAGCTGTTATCAGCAGGAGAAAAAAACTTTTGTAGTGATAATCAAGATGGCCCATTTAGACAGTTGACAAGAAGGTGTGAGGATACTTCTGCCACCTAGATAAGAGCATCTTAAATTTACTTTCAATTGTCAGCAAGCTGACCTCTTCCCTTGGACCCATCTACATGCCACAGAGGCTGCAACAATCATTGCCACTCTTATATTTGAAAGCTTGAGCAATTTGAAAGCTGGACACAAATCGGATTGTCTTCTAGATGGAATCACCAACCTTGCTTTCAACCCTGAACGTTTACAAACTAACATTCCAATGGATAATGGGGAATGCGCAGGTGTTGCAAGAGACTGCTGCTGCAATTCAGCCCTTCCTTTACAATCCATGTCAAAGCGATTGATAAATTTCATTCTGATGTGCCAACCGTGAAAAGGTTTATTGATGTTACTTGTATTTGCAGAAGTGGGTCAGATCTCTATTGCAATAATGGCTTAGCCCATCACTCTCACAATTTTAAAATGTGTTTCGATATATTTTCCTTCCTTTCCATAATCTATTACACCACCCCAGTAACACTCTTACTTTACTTCAAAGCTATATAAAACCCAGGACAATGAATAATTGTCTTTAGTACACACAGAAGGCTTCATGTGCAAAGCAAGAGTTGTGTGGTGAATTTAAGTTTGAAATCATGCTGAGATGCTACTCCAGTAGTCCCCAAACTGTGGAGCGCACTCCCCTAGGGGTGTGTGGAGGAATGTTTGGGGGTGGATGCATGGGTGGGCCTGGGCCAGCACCCATGGGGTGGGGGTAGGGAGAAAGCACCACCCAGTTCCACTGCGCCCCCTGCCCAGCTCCAGCCCCAGGCCCAGCTCCGTTCCGTGCCAAGGCCATCTGTGGTCCCAGCCACAGCTCCGTTCGCCCCCAGCCCAACTCTGCCCTCGTTCTCTCTCCACACCAGACCAGCATTGCCTCTAGCCCCAGCTCTTCCACCACACCCAGTTCTGCCCCCAGTGCCACCTTCAGCCCAAGCTCCTCTGCTGAATTCACTGTGCAGTAATGGAGGGGGGACACGGATAGATTCCATTCCTGGTAAAGGGGGGAGCAACAAGAAACATTTGGGCACCAATGTGCTACTGGGTGTGCATTAGCTGAATTACTCTATATCCACTCTCCAGTCTGGCTCTATTCTTCCTATGTGTGGGAGGCACGTTTTTCTTACATGGGCTGATTCTTGTCTAGTAGCAATTACTCTTGGTATGTTGTTTAGTGTGGCAGGAATCTTCATCATCAGTATGAAGACTCCAAGGAACATGTCAGGCAAGTGTCTTAATCTTCCAAGAGAAAGTGTAGAGCTTCTTGACCATATAAGGTTCAGTACTGCAGTCTTTAGTCAGGCAAAGCTCCCGTCGATTTCAGGAATTTTTCAGCAAAACCAGTTTTGATGAACTTTTCCTCAGGAACAGTTTCTCAGGTTGAGGATCGAAATATCTGGCCAGACACACACCAAGAACAGCCAATATCCCAGTGGTTAGGGCACTCACCTGGGATATCGGAGGCCTCGTATCAAGTTATTGTTCTGCCTGATTTGGATCAGGGACTTGAACCTAGGTCTGCCAGGCACATACCCTAATCACCAGGCTGCTCACTTTTCTGAGGGGTGGCACTCTCATTTTTCATTACTCTTTGAAAGGTCTTGGATTTGTGCTGATGTCGAATGGCAAAATAGTTTCCCAGGCAGCTCAAAATTTTGCCTGAGTCATGACTGCAGGAACCGATTGTCTGTGACTGACTGACGCAAAGATCAGTGGTCATTTATAGCAGTAGCTACAAGATGTAACGGTCCACATTTTTCAAAAACAGCCTTTAATTGTGGGTGTTCAACTTCAGATACTGAGGCCTTCCTTTTCAGAGGTGGTGAGCCACCTGCAGTGCCCACAGACTTCAGGTAGAGTTGGGGTTGCTCAGCACCTATGAAAGTCAAACTCTGATTATACAAAGTAGAGCATCCAAAATTAAAGGCCACTTTTGAAAAACACATTGCTTTAGTTTTTTATTCCATATATTCAGCTACCTTTACTGAACTGAAGGCTCCTACTTTCAACAGTTTCGAGGTGACACTGAGATTTGCAGGATCATTATCCCCTTTGTCTTTTTGGTGATTGCACTGACTTTTATTGATGATGGTTTTGCTGTGTGGTCTTCTGCCCTCTGGAGACCAAAACTGAAAGCACTGAAACCATGAACTGTAGTTGAATTGAGCCCATGTTGGTTACAAAAGCAAGTCACTTGTTAGAAATATAAAATAAGGAGAGAGAAAAATAAGGGCAAATATTAACAACCTCAGCAATATTAATGCAGTAACAAGGTAAAGGATTATGATAGGAAACCAGAATAGAAAATAGAAAAAGAGACACATATAAACAAAGATCAAACTAATCAAGAGGAAAACCAGGAGGAAGAGTAATAAGAAAGAGAGAACTAGGAAGAGAGGGGTAAGGAGAAGTAGGGGCAAGGAGTAAGAGATGAGTGAGAGCATGGAGGAAGCAAGAAATAAATAGGCGTAAGGGTGCAATCTGTGCTCTAATTACTTTGCTACACAAAATGTAATATTCCACAATCAAGGTCTGGAGGCAAAGTACATTCTCTCTGTGGGATGAGGGAAGAGAATAGTTCTGCACTCTGACTCAAAGCTATACCATGCCCTTTCTCCCCTCAGAAAGATTCTAGGTATGACCACAACCCAGTCCACCATCTACTCCTGTCTCTTTTCTTTGACCTCAACAGTGAGAACCTCTCCTTCTCCTGCTATGGGGGAAGGAGCCATGGTGATGACAAGAGACTTGTTAGTGGTTCCTCTGTGCAGAACTGGCTTAGGTGGAGGTTGAAAATTTGCAACTGACTCTTCCTTTTCCACTGATGGTTTAGGTGGGGCTGTGGGTTCTGGTGCTGGTTCAGGTTTCTTTTCCTCTGGCTCAGGTTTCATTTCTTCAGTTTTTTCCTGTAATGAAAAGTTATACATTTCTTAGCGCTGCAGACAAAATCCAAGAACCCATATTCTACTCTGAGTGTGGAGTCTTAAGGTATGGGTAGGAATATGGGAATGGACACAGAATTTACTACTGCCACCTACTAGTGGATAAGTAGAACAGAACAAGATTATTATTAATTTGCCTATTCCCTAAAGTAGGCTATTGTGTGGGAATTACTTATTACATTTAATGGCTTGCTACTTATAAATTTGACTTTTATTTATAGAAGTTGTTTGGATTTACTCAGTTTTTGCTAAATGTGTTAATCTTAAATTTGTCTCCATGATTTGTAAAGCAGTAGGGAAAAGGTGAGAGTTTGAATAGCCAATAAGTTAAGCAGTGCTTTGCCATCAGCTGGATTCTGTTGCTGGTTGTAGGATAATGCTTTCAAGGGGCATCATGGTTTTGTTAGAGGTTAAAAATGGCTCAGTTGCCCCCCAAGGCCCATATAAAAGCAGTTCTTACTCCCATTTCCCTTGACCTTTTTTCTCTCTGCTGCCACTCTTCTTTTGCTCACTCTGTCCTAGGCAGAACAGGACTCCAATAACATTTGAGTCAAACTTTTGAACCCATGATGTTTGTGATTAGGCACTATGGGTTACATCTTGCCCTGTTGAAGTAACTAGGCATTTGGTCATTTCAGCAGGGCCAGGATTTCATGCAATATGTTTGCCCAAACCTGGTAAGTTCCTCTCTTGGGTTTTCCCCCTGCTTATCCCTTGAGCATTCTGAACAGTCTTTTGTATTTGTGGTGGGTTACCTGAGCAGCTTGCTGTTGCTTCATCTTGAGCAGCATAGCGAGGCCTCCTTTTCCTGACCCTCCAAACATTGCTTTGAATAGTTTGGGAGTTTCTGGTTTTGGTGCAAAGAGACTGGTCAAGCCTTTTGTTTGTGCTTGTGGCTCTTCAGTGGGCTTACCCTTCTCCTTCAGTAGCACCCTGTAGATAAGATGGACGATAACACACCACAGTGAGAACTGCCGAGTCTAATGCTAAGATATTACTAAAACTCCAAATGAAAGCATGAAACCCTTGTAACTTTTTTCAGGGTTGTTTTTCATCCCAAACTTAGAAAAGAAAAGGGGAAGGAAGGTACCATTCACCAGAGTATGGATCTATGGCAAATTGCTGCTGTTTGAATTTTGAAATCTATTTCTTCTCTGCAGGATGCAGGTAAAACAAATGCGTGCTCCAAACAAGGTCGCATCGAAGGAGGATTATATAGGGTAAGGTGAGAAACAGACATAAAAGAGAGCACACTCCTTTACTGCCACGGGATGTGCACAAGGGGCAAAATTCTCCTCTCTGGTCTGCACTGCAGATGGGTCTTTGCACATTGAGCATTCCCTCTGCTAGTGGATTTTGCACTGAAATGAATAGAAGTGATAGTGCACTGAAGTGACCTGCCGTGTGAATCGCTGTTTGGTGCTTAGACTCAGAAAGGTGGCAGGTTGGTGTATGTCTCTGTCATACTCCTTCAGTAAATCACTGTATAGAACCAAAAGCTTTCTAGTAGCCAGCACTGCCCATACAATGTGATATCTGGAAAACAATCCATGGACTTCCCATTCTGTGCTATGCCTGATTACCACCAACAAAGATAATGGAATCATATTTTAGTGGGTAGTTTTGTTGATGATGCACATGGCAAACTAGGCTGGACCTCACTCTTCCAAAACTGTTGGTTTTTCAGGCACTAACAGCAGCAAGAACTTACTTGTGACAGTAAACTGTGTGTAAGGGGACTGTTGCCCCCTTACTAACGTTCAGTGGGGGTGTTTTGGTTGGCTAGCTCCCAGTACTAAAAAGGGGAAAGGGTCAATGGGGAATTAGGACCCTGAGACTGACAGCTCCCAGGAACAATGGGGAGAAGCCAAAACTCCAGGTCAGCCTGAATGACAGGGCGGGCAGGCTAATCAGGGAGTCAGGAGGCCAGGGAAGTCTTATCTTCTGTGTGAGCTGGATTTACCTGGGTCAGACAGAGTGGGGCTGAGCTAAGGAAAAAGCAGGGGCCCAAGCTGAGCTGGGGAGCGAGCTGTGCCAGATCAAGAGAGAGCAGACCTTGTCCTGGGAGCAGAGCTGCAGCCCCAAAGCCAGAGGCACAGCCCAGAGAGAGCAGACCTGTCCTGGGAGCAGAGCTGCAGCAACCAGAGCCAGAGGGGCCAAAGAAGCAGCCCAGGGAGCTGGAGGCAGAGCAGCAGCAGCAGCAGTGCAGAGACAGTGGGGCTGGAGCAGTCTGGAGCTCGGTGCGGTAAGCAGCTGGGAAGACCGAGGGGGACCCTGGGCAGCAGGCCCAGCACAGGGACACGCCTCAGCCAAAAGGCTCTGCAGGCCAGGCTTGGATCGTAACCCTGACAGGGCAGGGGTGACACTTGGCAGAAGGGTCCTACCACTTGGAGCCTGAGAGCATGAGGCCACCACCAGAGCAAGTGTCCAACCCACAGCATCCCGGCAGCACAGCCAGGGCCTGAGAAGAAGGCCTGGGACTTACAAGGAACAGACTGTGAACTGCCCTGACATTCCAGAGACACTGTTTGTGATGTTCCCTGCCACAGAGCGGGTTGACGTGTTTCCTTTAAACTTTCCCATTTTTCCTCATTCTTTTTAAAATTAATTGTTGATTAAATAACTTGCATTTGCTTTAACCTGTATGTAATGGCCAGTGGGTCAGAGAAGTGTCCAGTGCAGAGAGAGTACCCCAGAGTGAGGACACCCTAGCCCCTGTCCTAGGTGACCACAGCAGGGTTGGGGTTTCGAGCTCCTCAGGAATCCTGGGCCCAGCCCTTTCGGGGTTACGAGGACTCTGCCAGACAGGAGAGTGGAAGGGGAGTCCTCAAGGGCAGGGGGGGCACTGGGTAAAGGAAGTGGGAGCGAGGACTCGGATCCTTTTGCTAGCCCACTTCACTGGGGTAGTGCAGAAGCCAGGAAAGTTCCACACAAGAGCGGGACCATTCCCTCGCTTACATATGCAGCTGTAGACTAGAAACACAGGACAGCAGGTATGAGCAGCATCAAGAAGCAGATTAGCATGCTTTTATTTCTGTTCAAGGATTGCACGGCTTGTAGGCAAACCTCTGTCTGTGCAAAGCTTTACTGAACCACTTCCCAGGGATTGAGGAATGGAACAGTGGTGGCGCTGATGCACCATGGCAGGGTGAATGGGAATTCTCGTTCATCTGAATGTTGGAGGGAGCTTATTGCAGCGAATGCAACTGTAAATTGGTATCCTCACTGTAATCTGAAAAAATCACTAATATGCTTGTGTTTTCTCTTGCAAGGTTCAGGAAGCTGGGAGAAGCTTCTCCAGCTGTTTTGGTGCTTGACACCAACCTTATGCCACAATCAAGCACACAAAGTTAGTGGCTTAAGCATAGTAAAAATATTAACTGTTTTACCAGTGCTACATTGTTTTACCTATTTTTTTAAGTCTTTTGGAGAGACTTGTTTTCCTGGTTTTTTTGTTTATAATTGGAGTTTTTAATTTGACTAGTTAAGTTATATTGATTTAAAACAGAGGTTCAGACCATTATTTATAGTATATTCCAGCAGTGCTGAGAGTAACGTTAGCTGGTCACAGGTCTAAACAGGATTGGGGCAAAGAGGGGATCTGTAGAGATACAGCCAAAGTGGGGAGAAAAGGAAGTTGATAAATACAAATCTGTGCACTGACCACACCCAGCTAAACTCTGTGTATACATAGACCCTGGACATGCTTTTGTTAGGCCTAATTTAAAACCTGCATTTGTACACCCTTAGGGCTCCTGGAAATCACAGAAAGGTAGGAAGGGACCTCCAGCTCCTATAGTCCATCAACCTGTGGATACAGAAAAGCATTTGCCTACAGGCTCATTTGTATCCGCACAACTGCACCATTGAAAATGTGCCCCTAAATTGAGCACTATCTTGCAGTATTCCTGCCCAGGAAATGCAGGCCAAGGTGAGGAACTGGTTGAGCACCTGAGGGGTCCTGTTTGCTTCTAAACACTTATGTGTTTGTCATTCTTTATGGAAAGGAGAGTTGAAACTTGGTTCTTAACTTCTCTATCTTTACTGCCCTTCCCTGACTACTGGCATCCCTGCCGTGACCTCATGAAATCTACCAAAAGTTACCATGATAATCCCACAACAAGAACTAGTTTTTCTAAGAAACAAACGTAACTATCAATCAAAATTCTTAATTCTGTATCTAAACCAACGCTGCAGGGGCCATACTTAGCCTTCTTCATCAGGAGCTTTTCAGAGTCTGGATAGTGCACCAAGATTTCATTGAGGGTCTTCTTGTCTAGAATAAAGAGATTGGCAAATCCATGTGCCACCACGTTAGCGGTCCGCCGATTTCCTCCACTTGCCGCTAGTAAGCTGCAATGGAAACAATACGAGAAAGTAGGGTTAGAACTTGCATATGTTATGCGTCTCTTTCCAGGTGTTTGGTGTTTTCTTCATTTAATTCAGCGATCAAAAAGTTCACATTTACCCCACAGTTACCTGTTATCTGAGGTACTTCAATGCTTCTCTGTACTTAACACTAAAACTATACTGAACCTAATTTAATCTTTCTTTGATGATTCAGAAGGCACTTCAGGATCTTGCAGCGCCGCAGGGTCATTATCAACATCAATTATCATTGTAGATGTAGAAGGTGTAGGAGATTGGGCTGAATTTGTAATGACCCTATGATACACCCTAGAACAGGGGCAAACTTTTTGGCCTGAGGGGTTTTTGGATTTTGGAAATTTGTATGGAGGGCCAGTTAGGGGAGGCTGTGCCTCCCCAAACAGCCAGGCATGGCCCAGCTCCCGCCCCCTATCTTCTCCCCACCCCCCACTTCTCGCCCCCGATGTCCCCCCCAGGATTCCTGCCCCATCCAACCCCCCCTGATCTCCCCCAAAACCCCCGCCCCGACTGCCCCCCGCCACCCCATCCAGCCCCTCCTCTCATTCCTGCCTGCCCCCCCCAGGACACCAGCCCCATCCAACCACCCCTTCTCCTTGTCCACTGACTGCCTCCAAAACCCCTGCCCTTGACTGCCCCTGCTGCCCCATCCAACCCCCCCTCTCCTTCCTGACTGCCCCCCTGGGACCCCTGCCCCATCCAATCCCCCTGTTCCCCACCCTCTGACCGCCCTGCCCCCTATCCACACTCCTGCCCCCTGACCACCACCCTGAGCTCCCCTGCCCTCTATCCAACCGCCGCCCCCCCCCCCCGCTCCCTGCCCCCTTACCGCGCTGCCTGGAGCACTGGTGCTGATGGTGCTACGGCCGCGCTGCCCGGCTGGAGCCAGCCACGTCACCGCAGAGCGCCGGGCCGGCGGCGCGCAGTGAGCTGAGGCTGCGGGGGAAGGGGAGGGGCTGGGGGCGAGCCTCCCGGGCCAGGAGCTCAGGGGCTGGGCAGGAGGGGCCTGCGGGCCAGATTTGGCACACGGGCTGTAGTTTGCCCACCTCTGCCCTAGAAGATGCTTTTTTGAATTTAGATCCCTGATATCAGCTGGCTTACTTGTCTTCTGCCTCTTTTGCATAAAAGTAGAGTGCAGAATGTGCAATTGCATAACCTCCTGGGCCGTACACTAGTCCCGATTACTGGACTGAAGATTTGTATTGGAAGATATCAGAAATGCCGGTTAATAGAGCTTTCTGGTTGATAAAGTGCCGGATAACACCGCTTTTACTGTACTAGAAATGTAAGAAATCTTGCTGGATAGAAAAATGCCTCTCAGATGAGCCTTACTTCAAGGTTGTCACTAATTTAAGTCTAAAAGTTCCCTATGTTCTACATAAATTTGGCATTCCCTCACTATTCTGGTTGGAAACTATTGACATCAGAAATAAAGAAGCATGGCCCTGACATAGAAAAAATTATTTGCTCCAGATGAATGACTCCTGCAGCATTACTCCTGAATCACTGTTTTGTGACCCTGATTGTGAGTCTGTCACACATTGCATCCCATACCTGGACCCTGGCAAGTTGAATGGTATGGATGTAAAAGGTCTCTTTGCCTGACAGCTTGTAAATTGCCTGCCTGAAGGTGAGGGGACTTTGTTTTGAAAGTGATGAAAGAGATTAGCTTCACAAACAGCAGTCTGCCATGAGGAGTAGGGTACACAAGTAAAAGTTTAGACACCTGTACAAATACAAATCTGAGCTGTTGGTCTTGGATTCAGCAGACTTCACTTCGCTGTCCCACCCGTGCAACAATCTAAGTAAGCGACGTAGCACAGTGTATTCCAGGTCTTGATATGAATGCTGAAAATCTCCTTTCTATAATTAGTATGGAAGGGTTCATCTGCACTAGACTTTTGTACCTCCATTGATAGTCAGTTAACCCAGTTACTTAAAACGTTTTATAAAGGCTAGGTGAACGCTCCCTACACGTTTGTCCAAGGCCACTACCATTTGTTGGTTTTTTTTGTTTTGTTTTTTTTTTTAAATCCTAGGCAAAGAATGCATGTTTGTAGCCTGGATCAAACTCTGTTTACTCGTTTGTGGGCAGTTGGAGACTTTGGTTGAAATCCCGGTCCTATTGAAGTCAATGTGAGTTTTGCCATTGATCTCAATGGGGCCAGGAGTTCATCCTTGGAGTATACAGCTAGGAAGGAGTAAAACATGCGTGTTCATTGTCCTAGGCTAACAGTGAGACTGGATCAACCTTGGCTGACAGGGCATAGTCTTGACACACCAAATCTGTACATTTTTAAAATCCTGACACCCAAAACTCTGATGCCTGACTGCATGAGGAATTCAAAATGCTCAGATTTTATTTTACTGAAACAGTGCCCTGATGATGGCTCATAAGGGTACGTATATGCTGCAGTAAAACCCCTCTGCGTTGAGTCTCAGAACCCAGGTCAATTGACTCAGGCTTGCAGGGCTCGGGCTGCAGGGCTAAAAATGAGTGTTGATGTTGGGCTCAGCCTGGGGCCCAGGCTCTGAGACCCACTCCCCCTTGTGGGGTTTCAGAGCCCGGGCTCCAGCCTGAGCCCAAACATCGACACTGCTCTTTTTAGGCCCGTGGGTCAAAGTCAGCTGAGCCAGGTTACCTGTTGCTGTGCTGCAGGTCTTTTATTGTAGATGTACCCTAAATGTTGTGAAAGCTGGGGTGATGGGATGCACAGTGATAACTCTGCGAGCCGATGAAAGATCACACCTGGCACTGGAAAGGGAAAGGTTTAACAATAAGGAAAGGAGATCTTCGCGAGTGCCCCTTCTTGGCCACCCACTAAGACTGCTGTGAGTGGAGTCCAAGTCTGTGCTCTGCTTCCCTTGGGATGCCCTAAGCTTCTGGAGCCATTGCCCCAATCTCGGGGCCCTTAGGCACACACTCGGAGTACAAACCTTCTACCTGGCACTCCGCTCTGAGTGCTGAAACTCTCAGTGGGGTGCTGACCCTTCAGGCTCCCTGGTACTTTAGCACACACCGCTCCCAGCATACCACACAAGAGTTTAACTCTCCCAGGGGCAATATGGTATTTGTGGATGCTTAACACATACTGGTAGACTGGCTTTGCACCGACTGTAGCACCATTGCTCTTTACTTAACAGATAAAGCACATAGAGTACAGATAATGTAGAAAACAATTGGAGGCCTTGTCTACGCTACTGCAGTAAGTCGACCTACATTGTGCTACTCCAGCTACGTGAATAACGTAACTGGAGTCGACGTAGCTTAGGTCAACTTACCGCAGCATCTACACTGCTGCGTCGACAGGAGACACTTTACCAAACCCACTAAATCGACTCCCGCTAAATCGATCACAGCAGCGTCGATCTCTGGTAAGTGTAGACATGGCCTTAAAGAGGTAAGACTGGAAGGGACCTCTAGAAGTCATGAGGTCCAGCTCCTTGTACTGAGGCAGGACCAAGTAAATCTAAACCACTCCTGACAGGTGTTTGTGCAACCTGTTCTTAAAAACCTCCAATGATGGGGAGCCACCACCTCACTTGCAAGCCTATTCCAGAGCTTAACTACCCTTGTAGTTAGAAAGTTTCTCCTAATATCTAACCTAAACCTCTCTTGCTGCAGATTAACCCCCTTACTTCTTGTTCTGCCTTCAGTGGGCCTGGAGGACAATTGATCACCATCCTCTTTATAACAGTCCTTAACATATCTGAAGATCTCCCCGTCAATCTTCTTTTCCCAACTAAACATTCCCAGTTCTTTTCACCTTTCCTCAGATTTACGAAACCTTCTAAATCTTTTTTTTTTCTTTTCCCCTCTCCTCTGGACTCTGCAATTTATTCACATATTTCCTAAAGAGTGATGCCCAGAATTGGACATAGTGCTCAGTTGAGGCCTGACCAGGGCTTAGTAGAGCGAAACCAATACCTCCCATGACATACAGACAATACTCCTGTTTATACACCCCAGAATATTAGCCCCCCCCCCCCTCTTTTTTTGCAACTGAATCACATTTTTGACTCATTGGATTTGTGATCCATTATAAACCCAGACCCTTTTCAGCAGTACTACCCCCTAACCAGTTATTCCTCATTTTGTAGTTGTGCATTTGATTTTTCTGGTGTAAGTGTGGTACTTTACATTTGTCTTGTTGATTTCAGATCAATTCTGTAATTTGTCAATGTCATTTTGAACTCTAAACCTGTCCTCCAAAGTGCTTGCAACCCCTCCCAGCTTGGTGTCATCTGCAAATTCTATAAGCATCTTCTCCACTACGTTTCCCAAGTTATTAATGGAAAAATTGAATAGTACTGGACTCAGGCCTGACGCCTCTCCCCACCCCACAGTTTGACAACAACCCTTAGATAACTGCTCTAGAAGTACAGATTTTTAACCAGTTGTGCACCCATCTTATAGTAATTTCACCTAGATCACATTTCCTTAATTTGCTTATGAGGATATCATGGGACTATGCCAAAAGCCTTACTAAAATCAAGATAAATCACATCTGCTGCTCTGTTCCAATCCAGTAAGCCAATGACCTTCAGTCAAAGATGTCAGTACATATCCTCAACATAGTGCCCCACACTAGCTCACCCTTCTCTTGGGAGTCCTTGGAGGATCATCTGTATTCTGTCAGGTAGGCAGAATCCTCCCCTTGCTTGCCTTTTCTGTTCCTGTGGCAGCTTCCTTCATCGTAATGCGGTATAAAATGGCTCTCTCCTCCAGTTCTCGACATGAGTCCCTTTACTGACTCCTGCTATGGTCATCTGCTTCTTCTATTCTGCCCTTTGGTAAATATCCACTCCCAGACCCGCCTCCCTTCAGCCAGAGGAGGAAGTTTCTTCTCCCAGCTCGAGCAAACCCATTGTCCCAAGATATTTTACTCTGAATAGACAATTGTTGAGTACTGATCACATACCATTGTGTCCATCCTGGCAGAGATGTGACACAACTATGCTAACTC